CAAACATACAACATTTAAATTTCAGTGCCATTTTTAATTCAAATCCCAGCAACACAGATTTACTTCCATAGATTTTGTCTACGTTTACACAGCAGATCTTGATTCTCAGTTTATGACGTAGTTTTTAGAAATACAACATATTTTGGGATGATCTTTCATACTACTAATTAAATGTAACCACCCTCTGGGTTCTGCCTGAGCAGTTCAGGTTATTAAAACAACCGGCAACAGGTTTAGATGGAGAATGTAGACGTCACACAGCAGAGAAATGTGTACAAAAGTAAGGACTGATGTGACTGTAACTAAAAATACAAATAAGAAGTTCTATAAAAGAGCAGCGCAATGAAGTGATTCATATTTAAAATATGTAATACGTCAGGATAAGATACTTACTGGTCTACCAAAGGAGAAATTCACTTGCGACATCATCTCTAGCTGTAATCTTGGAATTAATCTGGATTAATCTAGATTAAAAATCACTAATTTCAATTCTGCCAAAGGCATTCATGATATATATTTTCTACGTCCAGAAAAGGTTTACCTTTTTTATGTTTTTTATTTGTTATGCAAAATCACACGCTATTTTGTCTTCCTACTTAAGATTTTGACAGTTATAAATACTTTTGTTGCTCATTCGTTACTCTGTTTTTTGCTACAAAAAATAGTGTCCTACTTCCAGTTATAGATGTCCCACTTTAGTGTCTCCAAAAATGTGACACACGTCGACTTGATCAACTTCTCATCTTTCCTGGCTTGCGGCGTGCTGGTCATGTATTCTCCTCATGATAGTTCACCTCCCAGGAAGTTCCCAACCCATCCATGGCCGCCTGAAGAATGAGCTCGGCAACTTGTTGCTATCCACCGAGCGAGGAGATCGGTTAGCTTGGCTGATAGAGCTGTGCTTATCGCTGCATCAATAGCAGCGCGTCACGTTCAATGTGGTAATTTCACATTATGTCTACAGAGGTTTGAAGACTGTTTCGTTCTCCCCCCTAGATATACATCCGTGCTAAAATATCAAGGTGAAAGTATTCATTAGTATAGACCGAGCTCCCAACTTAGCTGTGAGAATAGATTAACAGCGATATATTTTATCGCCGACAAGAGTCTGGAATATATATATATATATATATATATATATATACTACCGTTCAAAAGTTTGGGGTCACCCAAACAATTTCGTGTTTTCCTGAAAAGTCACATTGACAAGGTTAGAAATAATGATTTGTATTTGAAATAAGTTTTTGTTTACATCAAACTTTGCTTTCGTCAAAGAATCCTCCATTTCCAGCAATTACAGCATTGCAGACCTTTGGCATTCTAGCTGTTAATTTGTTGAGGTAATCTGGAGAAATTGCACTTTTTCTTTTATTGGCCAGTCTCAGATATGGCTGTTTCTTTGCCAGTCTGCCCTGAAGCCCAGAATCCCACAGCCGCCTCTTCACTGTAGATGTTGACACTGGTGTTTTGCGGGTACTATTTAATGAAGATGCCAGTTGGGGACCTGTGAGGCATCTGTTTCTCAAACTAGAGACTCTAATGTACTTATCTTCTTGCTCAGTTGTCCAACGCTAGCCTGACGTAGTCCGACTCAATTCTAGTCAGAATATGAG